GGCCACTAAGGCCACCCCTACACAGTGAGGGCAGCACCCCCTGGAGCCCAGGCTATGGTCTTCAGCTCAAGGATTCTGCTCTGCATTGCCTACAACCACACCCATACATAGGTATACAGAACTCACTAGCTCAGCAGAAATTACTTATGATTCTTTGACCTGCTTACCTGGATCTGAATTCTTCTATAATAGTTTTAATTAATCCAGGTGGACACTTCTTCAGGAATAAGCCCCAACATCTCAGAATTACAGAGTGTTCAAAACGTCCAAAGTGTATCATGGAAATTATTCCACCATGAGAACTACAGAGACCTTCCCTACCCTCATAGATGCAGCTTGCAAAGTAGAACATACATGAGGTTTGGTTCTCTTTTCAGCAAATAAGTAGCCAAAAGGGCAGGGAAGGGGGTGAAATACATCATAGCCAGCCCAGCAGAATCCCCTGGTCTTACCATTACATGTGATGCTTTCAAATGGGTTCTTAGTACCTTAATTTTGAGGGAAAGAGTGGAAGGAACCAGCCATTGCTTTTGCATGTTTAGTTTCTGCCTACGACACTGAACTCAAGAGAACTGAGACCTTTGGAGAAACCAAAGATGGTTCAAATGACTCGTGAGAATAAATTAACTCAGTGTTCCTTGCTGACAAGTTGACGTTTCCTAACTGTAAAGCAGAACCAGCAGCCACTGACACAGAAGGCCTGCCCCACAGATAGAGAAGAGATGAAGCACTGAAACTGAGCCTGAATGACCTCCACTATCCCAGGGCGCAGGGCCACTGGGACTCCTTCAGAATCAGAAAACCAAATTCTCATCACCAAACCGGCTTCAGAGCAGCTGGCTTATTAACATCAGGAAATCCAAGCACTCTCTTCCAGGCCTGGAGACCAGAGGAAAGGGGACGTGAGGGGGGGGGCGGTCCCCAAGGCAAGGGGAGTCTACACTGTGGCCCCAAGAGAGGCCACTTCCCTCCTAAAATGCCTGGGATTTTCCACTTCAGTAGGGGAAGGTATCGAGGCAAAACACTGATAGCAAAACAATGAGGACCTCCTCATTGACCTCCACGTACAGTGTGGGATCAGGCACCCAGCAGGCTGATATTCCCCCTTCCTGGGTTAGGGAGAGCGAGGCACAACCCCAGCACACCTTTGCCCTCAGAAAAGCTGAAGCCAAATCAAAAAGTTACCAGGAGTGACAACTGGGTACCAGAGTTCAAACTGTGCTGGCCAGGACTGGGATTGGGCCAGGCTGGGAACTGTCCAGAGCTCTGGTCTCTAGGTAGGGCTGTCCTCCAAGATCAGCCAGCACTTTCCAAGTAGACATACCAAATATCCTTCATATTTTCTCTCTGAGTAAATACCACCGCTTTTCCCAAAGCAGACATTTTCTAGAGCCTTACTGGCCTGGTGTCTGCCTAGTGGGAGCCAACCCCAGAAGGAGCTGTTAAATAACCCACTGTTTCAGTCTGTAAACTTTTTATGACTTAGTGACAAGTGAAACCACATTCTGACAGCAACTGCAAGTTCCCTAGTACCCAATGACTTCTCTTTTGTTCTTGGAATACTCCCTCTCACTAGATCACAGACCCACCCATCCCCAGTCCCTGGAATAAAGACAGAGACACTCTCTATCTTTATTGGATGAATGGATGGGTTCCATTCCAGGGGCACCCCAGGTGGCTCAGTCAGTTAAGTATCTGCCTTTGGCTCTGGTCATGATCACAGGGTCCTGGGATCTAGCCCCATGTCAGGCTCCCTGCTCAATGGAAAGCTTGCTTCTTCCTCTCCCTCTGCCTGCCACTCCCCCTGCTTGTGTTCTCTCTGTCAAGTAAATTTAAAAATCTTAAAAAATAATAATAATAAAGACAGAGCACAACACCACATTTTAACCTGAGATGTGGAGAACACCTCTTCTCCTGAGAGCCTAAGTCCAAATGGAAGTTACTTTTTCTCCTTCACCTTGAATGCAGTGATGAACTCTCTGAAGTGGACCCCACAAACATGTAGGAAAGCAGTCATGGGCAGTATTCTGAGGGGCACAGACAGAACCAGCCAGCCTAGATAAGGTGGTAAAGGATGCAAAGCTACTTGGGTTTCATCTTCCTGCCAACAGGTTCCCATCTGTCCTGCCTTTCTTAGTCTCAGCTGCCCGTCACTTCAAATCAGCTATGGTGCAATCCAAAAACTGAGGTTATTAATAAATAAATTGCTGACAGCATGGTCTTCCTGGTCATTTTTTACGTATTAAAATATGATGCATGAGTTCTCCAAGTAGAAGATCTGCTGAGATCCAAAGAAAGGAAGCTACTGTGGTGGAGTTACAGATGTTATGTTAGTGCTTTGGAGCAAAAAAGAGCCCATTTCTCCCACAAGCAAATGCCAGCCCAAAGCACTGATACTAATATAGATCCTAGAGGCTTGCGGTGTGCAAGGTGGCAGACAGTATCCTCCAACCTCCCCATACACGTGCATTCCCATCTCCAAACCACTTGCTCTGATGCACAGAAGCATAAGGTCGCCAGAAGTATAAGGTCTGATGAAGTCATACCCCCTCACCCTAAAGGGCCACTTTCAAGACTATGAACAATGATGATGACCATGGACAGGGAAGGCTGGGGATTTCTGTCATAAAAACACTTGGCAGAAAGCCTTGGAAATGGTGTAGGAGAAAAACACAAGCAGGCTCAATATCCAAATTGAGAGACCAGTCTTGGGGATCTTAATGTTCTCAAAAAGGGGAGAAACCACTTTTTTCCTTCATTCTCCACTTTTGCCAAAAGGCATTTTCAACAAAACATAGAATCTCATTTCTTCAGAGGAAGAATAACTGGGAGACCCCAGCTGATCCCTGGCACTGAGGCCTGGCTCATTCACAGCAGGCAGGACCACCCAGAGGACGACGGAGCTGAGCTGAAGGACCTCTCCAAGGCAGGGACCCTGTGCACAGAATGTTACGGAGATCAAATGTTTCCTCCGGCATTGCTGATGAAGGATAGTTAGAAAACAGGCAAGCAGGGACAAGGGGCCCGCCCTAAGAGGAAACCACCCTTAAAAGGATCGTACACCACCCTGGAAGGAGCCCTCCACCCTCTCCCATGTGATAGGTAGATGAAAACCTGATTGGATGATGGGCACAGGGAGGGTTAATCAGATTAAAATAGCCCACTAACAAGTCCATAAAAACCCCTAGACTTAAATACTTCCAGGACAACCCTCTCGGGTCCCCTCCCTCTTTGGGACTTTGTACTACCACTCAATAAACCTTGTTTTGCTGCCCATCATGCTGCCTGGTCTACCTCTTCGTTCTTTAAGCAGCATGACCAAGAAACAGTGGGCACTGAAGGAGAAAATCCTGTAACATTACTACATACCAGGGATTTTTCACACTTCATCTTTCAGTCTTCACAACAGCGATATGGGAAGCACTGCTATTATCTCAGTTTTATTAGATGAGCAAACAAGAGCACAGATCCTTGGGGGAACTTAGTCAAGGTCATACAGTAAGTGTCATAGAGCTGGGCTTTAAACCCATGCTGTACAACTCAAAACCCTGTGCTCCACGCAGTAGAGAACTGCCTAGGTGGCATCCACACAACAGGAAATCATAGTGTGTGTATATTTACATACAAATATGTATGCATGTGTGTACAGTATATAACAGTCATGTAAATCCAGAGTGTTCCAGAGGTTTTCCAGAAGTATGTACCTAGGTTGCTGAGAAAACCTCACCCAGATTAGGGTAACAGAGGATTTAGTTGAAAATGCTGTGGGTCGTGGATGCTTGGGTGGCACAGTTGGTTAGTTGGTTGTGTCTGACTCTTAATTTCGGCTCAGGTCATGATCTCAGGGTTCTGAGATGAAGCTCTACGTGGGGCTTCCCACTCAGTGGGGAGTCTGCTTAAGATTCTCTCTCTCCCTCTGCCCCTCCCCTTGCTCTCTCTCACTCACATGAGCGTGCACACATGCTCTTGCTCTCTTAAAAATCTAAAAAAAAAAAAAAAAAAAGAAAAGAAAACATTGTGGGTCAGGGGCTACCTCTGAGGAGAGGAGCTGGAAAGGAAGGAGATTTACTTTTCCCTGTATGTCTTGATGTCATGTTTGAACATTTTATCATGATACATGTACTTCCTACTTTAAAACCTTGTATTTTTTTAAGATTGTATTTATATATTTATTTGACAGAGAGAAAACACAAACAGGGAGGGCTAGAGATAGAGAAGCAGCTCCCCACTGAGCAGGGAGCCCAGCATGGGACTCAATCCCAGGACCCTAGATCATGACCTGAGCAGAAGGCAGGTGCTTAACCAACTGAGCCACCCACATGCCCCTTTAAGAACATTTAACTGAAAAGAAAAATCTGTATGTGGTTGAGTCACTAAGTATTTGAAATTTACCGAGTCATACTTTCTAAAACATAGATATCTGAGAAAAAGCAATCCCACATTACAGAGGCCTACTGCATGCATCACAGCGGGGGCCAGGAGAGATGGCTTCATTCAGTGCAGGAGAGAGGACTCGGCTGGGGGTGTCTGAGTTGCTCAAGACCCAAGAACAGTAAAAGCGAAAACATTCAACCATCCTCTCCCATTTTCATTTTCAAACAAAAAACCCCACTACCGCCACAGAACCTGTCTCTGTTTAGAAAGCCAGTGAAAGAATGGATGACCTCACTCTCCCCAACAGGCGAGTCCTAAAGTGTTGTTCACAAAACAAAACTTGAGTAAATCGGTTCATATTTTAAATACCCTAGCAGAGGTCCTTGTTTTCGCAATCCTGATGAGATCTTTGCAAAGCAAAGAAGCTGATCGTGATAATACAGTGTTTTGTAAATCTTTCTTTTTTTTTTTTTTTTTTTTTGATGCTGTACAAGGGTCCTAGTTTCAGCTTGGAACCAATCTTGTGAGCTGCCTGGGTGTCTGGGAGACTGGTAGGGCAGCTTGGTCTAGAGCCCATTTGCATGAGACCAAGGACCCTCCTGCAAGAGACGTCATTATAAGGGCAGAGGGAACCTGTACAAGCTGTACAGGTTCAACCCAATAAGAAAACCTAGGGCAGGCGTGATTCAGAACCTTAGATCCTTGTCTGCATTAGGAAATTTCTGCCCAGCTGCCTCTGAACTCAAGACAAGTCATACAGCAGAAGAAAGTTACGAACACAAGCTCTAGAAAATGTCACAAGGTCCTTCTTTGACATCCCATCAAAGAGGTAAGTGGTATTCTCTCTACTTCTGCCCTGAACCAAGTGGGTGTCGCTAACTTGAGGGCCCCAGCAGAGACGAGAACCACCTGGGCTCCTCAGACCTCCGTCTCAGGAGTAGGGCCACCCTGTTGCCAGCGGTGGGGACAGCACCAGCAGCCCAAGGCAAACCCCTTGGCACAGAGATCCAAGTCTTCACCAGGGGCCCCAGGGAGAGAGGGCTGAGGCTGACCCAGCTCAAGTGGTCTGGAAGAGGTGAGAAGGAAACTGGTAGATGCCACATGGTGGCACAAAGGAGTCAGGTACCCGAGCACGGCACATTGTGCCTGGAGGCTCCTGTAGAAAGCGTGAGATCTGGGGGCAGGCAGGCAGTCTGCAAGAGCTGGTCACGGAGACAGCCAGGAAAGGGAAGTCCTGCAGATGGCTCCTGGTGGTACCTTACTTGAAACCCCAGGCTAGTGGGCTGTGTCGTGGTCTGAGGAAGCTCAGGTCAAAACATCTTAGGTTTTTACAAATATGAGTTAACTGGAATACAAAATCCTAGCCTGTTAATCTGGTAATTGAAGTATTTTTTTAATCATAGCCAGGCTTAGCTTCTCGCCCTGCCCGCACCCCCCTACCCCGCCCCAAACTTCATGCAAGACTTCAGCTTTACTTTCCCTCTTAAGACATGCCAAAATGCTGAGTCACTAAAAATAAATAAATAAATTAATAAATTAAAAAAGCAGAAAAGAAAGTAAAGGAAGTGTGATCCTGCTTCTTAGTTCTAGCCTTCCTAATGACCTAAGAAGCACTTTTTCCCCGAGTTGTGATTCCTGTGATGCTAAAGGACGTCACATTGCACAATCTTAATAAGGTTTCCAATCAGCCCCACCCGCTCTGGCCCCACCCCCACCTCCAACAAAGATTTATCAAATGTGGGATTTTCCCATGAGTCTCAATATTAGAGTCTCAAGCCCCAATAAATATGAGACTGGGGATGTCTGAGGTTCATTCTGCCCTGGAGCCCACCAGGAACGAAAGAGAGAGATCCATCTGCCCTCCAGGACCTCAGCTATGAACTCCCTCTCCACAAGTAAGTGAAGGCAATCCCTAGCCCTGGAACCGCCCGGCTGCCTGGCCAGGCGGAGGGAGGGGTGTGTGTCCGCTGGGAGGGCTGGCAGAGCGCCAGCAGCCAGAAGCACAGCTCCCCCAGCGGTGCACTCTGCTCACTCGCTGCTCTCCCTTGCCTCCGGCACAGGCGCCTTCAGTCCAGTGGCCTTCTCTCTGGGACTGCTCCTGGTGATGGCTACTGCTTTCCCTACACCGGGACCCCTGGGAGGAGATTCCAAAGATGATGCCACCTCAAACAGACCACCACTCACCTCTGCAGACAAAATGGAAGATTTCATTAAGTTCATCCTTGGCAAAATCTCTGCACTGAGAAATGAGGTGGGTAGGCTCAACTGAGGGTGATAAAGGGCCTGTGTGGGCATTCGTCTCCTGGCCCCTGGATGTGGACAAGGGCTTCTGCACTGGGAGGTCTGAGCTGGGTTCTGGGGCAGTACAGATTTCAGGCCAGAGGGGCAGACTGTCTGCTGTACTTCTTTTCTGCCGCTGGTCTGAGGGAGCTCCTTTCCCTCCTGGAAAACATACAATGCAGCTGAAATCCATGCCCTCTGGACCCATTCCCAGCCCCATACTTGGCATGAGCTGGGCATCACTGTCTCCCAGGACTTCCTTATCCCTAACCAAAAAAATAAGGTCTATCAATCTTCTTGTGTCTCTTGGACTTTGGAAGGATTAGCAAAGTGCCACCTGAAAAGCAATGTTGAGCTTCTCAGGACAATCATAGGACTTTTAGGTTATGGGAGTTCAGTGGTTAGGGACTCCCTACAGATATTCCAGCATATAAGATGCAAGTGGCAAAATTGTAGGTAGGTTAAAGCATATAAGATCCAAGTGGCAAGATCATAGGTAGGTTAAAGCAGCTCCAAAGCTTCAAAGGTAAGGGGTAATTTGGCTCTGTTTGGTGGAAAGGAAAGAACTCAGGAGAGTAATGGGAGCCCTGAACCAAATCTAGTTCTGGTTCTGCTGAACCAGCTTTGTGATCTTTGGCGAATTCCCTACCACCTCTGGGCCCCCTCTGTAAAATTATGGAATTGGACTAGATGATCTCATAGGTCCTTCTAGCTGGAACGTGATACAGCTCAAATCATATTCACCCAATTATCATCAAAATTGCTGTCACTTATCAAGTTCCTACTATGTGCCACACACTTTTCATAAATATGGCTCATCATCTCACACACACACACACACACACACACACACAGACACAACTTACAGGGGAGGAGTTTCATTATCCCCAGTTTGAAGAGATAGGGATGCGGAGACTCAGGATAGGTAACAGGTGTGAAGTCATAGGTGAGCCCAGCATTGAACCCAAGCATGCCCATCTTCACTAGACCTCGCTTGCCTGGAGGCTCATGTCCTGTGATTTCATTTTCTTAGAGAACTTCCTGCCTGGTAAAACATGAATCGGCCCTCTAGTGGTATTTGTTTTAGAGGCACTTAAATGATAACAGTTCTGGTATTCCTTCCCAGATGTGTGACAAGTATAACAAGTGTGAAGACAGCAAGGAGGCACTGGCAGAGAACAACCTAAATCTTCCAAAACTAGCCGAAAAGGACAGATGCTTCCAGTCTCAATTCAATCAGGTATGAACACATCACGTTCACTTTTAGCTACTCCTTAGTCAAAAGTTCTCCCTCTTACATGCAGTGTCTGTATACATATAGACCAGGCAGAAAACAAAGAAGGGGATCAATGTAAAGAATGTCATGTAAATTTCAGGAGGAGGCCAACTTAAATCTTCCTAAAGGCAAGTTATTTTTGAATGGCATGGTTAGAGACAGCCTTTCTGTGCTGGGATTTTCACAGCTGTCAAATGTTAGAAACCCCAGCAGGTTTAGCTAATACATCCTGGATAAGGTGGTCCATCTCCTCCTTGGCTGCCTTTAGCAGGACCCAGGGCTGCCCTTCCTGTAGAGGTCATTCTCTCCCTGCTTCTCCTTCCAGACAGTGGGATCCGTTAAACTGACTTCCGAACAGTCCATAAAAAGAGGCTTCAGCCCATATTGACGAGAGCAGAAGTAAAGCCACAAGGGAGGATATTAAGGGGAGAATGAGAGAAGGACCCCCTTGCACCTATCAGGCATTGGGTAAAACTAATTAAGTGATGTCTCTGTCCAGATATTTAAAAAGGGGCCATCTGAGGCTGATGTCTCAAAATACAATGCTCAGAAGTATTTGAAGTCCCCTGGAAGGGCAGAGGGAGAAGTTGTTGACTTGTAGCAATTTAACTTTTAAAATTGATTATATCTTTCTAGTAATAACCAATTTTCCCATCTTTCCTCTTAGGAGACCTGTCTGACAAGAATCACTACCGGTCTTCAGGAGTTTCAGATACACCTGAAATACCTAGAATCCAACTATGAGGGTAATAAGGACAATGCCCACTCTGTGTACATCAGCACCAAACACCTGCTCCAGAAGCTGAGGCCCATGGTGAGCATTCTGTCATCCCCTTCCTTGGTGTGAGGAAGACAGGCTCAAAGAAAGGGACCTAGACAACTTGGGAGTGCAAAGCCAATTCAAAAGAGATAGCTACATGTAAAGGAAAGATCTAAGAAATATTTCCTGATAGTTGAAACCTTTTTTTTTCTTTTGGCTCTCTTCTGCAAAAGACATCACTAACTATATTTAAAACTATATTAAATTAGGTGGATTTTAATTCTACTAGGACAGCTTAAGAAATATGAAAAAAAAAGTCTGTAGAGGCAGAAGGAAGCACACATCCAATCCTGCTCAGTGATCCATGATAAAAAAGAACAGAGAGCACAAAAATTATTTTAATATGTTAATTATTGCCAAATGATATTCTTGTCATTGTGGTATTTTCAACTCTTTCCCCCTACTTTTTGCCAGAAGAGTTAATGTAGAGAAATGGCGAAAGGCTAGAAGAGCAGGTACCAAAGGCTTTGGTCATTACCAGCTAGCCGTTCAAATGTCACCGAATGGAGGCTTGAGGGCACAGTGTGGGGATGAGCTTCTGAACAAAGCACAGTGAGAAGGTCTCCAGAGAAGCAGGCACATTGGAGTTGATACTGCTACTACCTTTCCTGGCTGTTTGCCTCAAACCAGGGCTCTTCCCACTTTCATATGCACACCAAACCTGTGGGGATCTTGTCACAGTGCAGAGTTGGATCCAGCAGGTCTGGGGTGAGACCTGAGACTCTCACCCCTAATAAGGCCCAGGTGATGCCAACACTGCAGTGCCCTAGAAGAGCAGTGAAGGGATGATTAGAATTCAGTTGCTGTGAAAGGCCTTCACGCTGGGTGGGCTCAGGTGGGCTTGGAGGAGGGACACCTCACCCTACCTGGGTGAGTCAGGGCAGGCAGCCCCAAGTAGTCTCCTTCACCCCAAATTTGAATGTCTTTTCACAGTCCAGAGCATCCCTCCACTCAGAAGGATTTGTTCAATATTTAAATAGTTCTTTTCACTTTCTTTTCCCCTCATGTGAAGAATCAGATTGAAGTGACCACCCCCGACCCTACCACAGATGCCAGCCTGCAGGCTCTCTTCAAGTCGCAGGACAAGTGGCTGAAACACACAACAATTCACCTCATCCTACGGAGACTTGAGGATTTCCTGCAGTTCAGCCTGAGGGCCATTCGGATCATGTAGCCTGGGCATCTAAGTTTGCTGTAGTTCATGGGCATTCCTTTCTCTGGTTAGAAACCTGTCCATTGGGCACATAACTTATGTCGTTCTCTGTGAAGAACTAAAAGTATGAGCGTTAGGACACTATTTTAATTATTTTTAATTTATTGATATTTAAATATGTTGAGTTAATTTATATAAGTAATAGATATTTATATTTTTTATGAAGTGCCACTTGAAATATTTTATGTATTCATCTTGAAAAAGTTAACATAAAATGCTATGCAGCTTGAATATCCTCAGTGTTTTGGAGCCAGGTCATTTCTTGGAATGTGTAGGTTTACCTCAAATATACGGCTAACTTATGCATATTTTTAAAAGAGATATTTATATTGTATTTATATAATGTTTAAGTTGTTTTTATACCAATAAACATCTTTCTAAAAAAAATCAGCCAACTAAGCCTCTGTATGTCCTGTGAAGATTTTAACATAAACAAGTTTCTGTCACCAGCACCACTAAGAGCCAAAAAGAGCTCCAGTCACCTGGGGAAAGATAGAATGGACACCTACTCTACAGCAGGCACGTGCCATATGTGTTGTATCTATGATATTTAATCCCCGCCCTTGTATGTTTTTTTATGGAGATGGGAGAGTAAGGGATTTCCCCAAGTCACCTAGCTGGAAGGTCAGGCACAGGCCCAGGTTTTAAATCCAGGTCTAATTGGCTTCAGGCCCCCTACTCCTAACCTTTAGGTCCCGCTGCTTCCCAGGAAACCTTCTCAAAGATGTAGAAAAATCCCAACATGTTAATACAGGGAATACATTTAGATCTGATCAAAAGCCTTTGAAATGACATAACCACTTGTACAGACCTAGCAATGTGCACTTCCAAACAATAACTAGAAGTTCTGCCTCCCCACTCTGGGTCCCTTCAACATTACACATACCTCTCTATCATAGCACCTACTATACTGCCCCACATGGCATATCTTTCCAGCCAGCCTTCTTTCTTCAAGAAGGCAGACTCTATTGTATTCATCTTTGTATCCTGAGCCCATGGCCCAGAACTTGGACATTAGGAGGCCCCAGTAAACATTTGTTAAATGAAGAAACCATATACATAGAAACAGAAGACACTTCAATATGGGGGGACATATACTGTTGATCAATGAGTGGAGAAATTACAAATAATGTGTCCTTATGTATCTTCATCTTTAAGAAAAATAGCAAGAGTTAGGAAGTCTAAGATGTAGAGGAGGCAATGAATAGTCAGTGTGTGTGTGTGTGTGTATACACATATACATGTATATATATACATGTATATGTATATATTTCCTTTCCCACCAGCAATATTCTTCATGGTAAGAGAGGCAATCTGAGTAACCACACATAGCCCACTATTCCACCTCAACACTGTGCTGGGAATTTGGTAAAGATTTCCCCCTTTCAGCCCAATAAATATGAAAGTTCTATCTTCTATTAAAGCTTTCCTCACTTTGGTCATCACAGACTTCTTCCACCAGGGGAAGAATTCTACTGAGCAAAAGAAGATCCACAATCTGAGGGTTTTGAAGGGGTTGGGGGAACCAGGTGGTGGGTATTAGAGAGGGCACGGATTGCATGGAGCACTGGGTGTGGTGCAAAAACAATGAATACTGTTATGCTAAAAATAAAAAAAATAAAGTAAATTAAAAAAAAAAAAAGAAGGTCCACAGAAGCAAGGACTAAAAGGAGCCAAGCAAGAAAAAAGCCACATACTCTGATTTCTACGAACCAGGCATCACAAGTGAGTTTCCCAAAGTGGGAGCCAAATCAAAGAACAAAGAGAAACAGCAGTTGACCAATGCATCAATTCCTCAAACAAAAATGTGTTGAGCCCATATATAAGTCAGGCAATGCTGGGGATGCAGAGATGAACAAGCTAGACACAGCCCCAGCCCTCACGTGGCAGGGAATACAGACATGAACAAAGAATGTAAAGGAGGTTTACAAAAGAGAAATGTGAGGTCTGCTGAGAACCTATTTGGGGGGCACCAATAGCAGGGAAACATAAGCCTGGGGAGGGCACTCATGGAGTCTTAACTGAAGGAGATATTTGGACTGAGATGTAAAAGATATGTAGGAGTTAGGCTAAGATGGGTGGGAAGAGCACTCCCGACAAAGGGAACAGCATGTGCAAAAGTCTGAATCAACAGAGAACTGGCTAAGACAATGAGAATTACGTTATGTCCAGTACATAAAGAACAAGGAGGGTGGCTGAGAGGTTGGGGAGGGAGGCTGGGAGCAGATGGACAGCATCAGAAGCCATATGTGAGAAGAAGGTATTGACAGATTTTAAGTAGTAGAAGGACATATGAGATTTACATTTTAATATGATCCCTCAAGTTGCAATATGGAGAATGGATAGGAAAGGATCTGAAAGAAGATATTGGAGGAACATCATTAGCCCAGGGGAGAGAGATGACAATATCCTGAATTAGGCTGGTGGTAATTGCTAGAAAAGAGAAGGTGATAGCAGCCATCTGCAAAAGATAGGTAGCAGCTAGTTCAGTAGGATCTGGTGATTACTGACCAAGATTCAGGAATCACAGAGGCCACCAAGGCTTTGAGAGAGGTAAGAAGTTGGGATTAGATGGAGGAGTAAAACACAAAGAATTTTATATTTCAGAGTTTTCATTTATTCATTTGTTCAAATGCTCTCTGAGCATCTGTGATGTGCCAGATTCTTTCCCGGGCCCTGATGATGAGTAAAACAGACTAGGTCTCTGTTCTCAAGGAGCTTACAGTCTAGAGAAAACAATTCAAAGAAATAACTGCTGTATGCTAAGTATGTGTGCTATTGTTATGAGATGAATTATGTCCCCTAAAAGGATTGGTTGACATCTTAACCCCCAGTACATGCTAATGTGAGCTTACTTGGAAATAAGATCTCTGCAGATGTAATCAAGATACGATGAGGTCAGTAGGGTGGGCCTTATAAGAAGAGAAGAGACACACAGGGCACAAGTCCATGCAAAGGGAAGCAGATATTGGAGAGATGATCTGCAAACCAAGGACGGTCAAAATCAGCAGAAGGTGGGACAAGACAAGGATCTCTCCTAAAGCCTTTAGAAAGAGCATGGCCTGCTCAGACCTTGATTTTGGACACCTGGCCTCCGGACTGGTGAAAGAATAAATTCCTGTTGTTTTGACCCACCCAATCTATGATAATTTGTTACAAAAGCCATAGGAAACTAACACAGCTACCAAGAACAGCACACAGTCAATAGGAGAGCCAAAAGTAGAGGGTTCAGGAAAGGCTTCCCAGAAGAAAATGACATTTAAGCTTTATTCACGAACATAAAGCAAATACAGTAATCTTGGGCTAGCCCAGCGCTGAAGAATGCAGGGAAGTTCATGTTCACCACTGGGGGAAAATGGACAATGGGAGGTTGAAAATATAAGAAGATTCAGAGAAGTGATGAAGGAGAAACCCAAGGTAAGATTTCAAAGCAAGAAGGGATAGCAACAATCTGTAATAGAGAGTGCCAAAAGGAAGGCAGGGGTCCAGATTCCACTTCTAATAAAACTTCCAAGTTTCTGGTGGGTTAAGAATGGGAAGGAAGGGATGAACCAGCCTACATGCTCTAAGAATAGACTATTAATAATGATAATAGAAGTGGAAGTGTCACTGAGCACTTACTGTGTGCCCTATATGGTTCATTGTATGTATTACTTCAGAGACACATGTCTTAACCAAAGGAGCAGGGAGTCTAAGCAACTTGTGTTAAGTCGCAAAGTGTGTAAACTCCATTAACCGTTATCCTTTCAAATCAATTCTCCACTTCTTCAGAGTAATAGTTTGAAATGGACCTGTGGCTCCCCATCAAGAGACTACATTTCCTATTCTCCTTTGCAGGTAGGTGTTACTATGCTGGGAAAGCACATGGCTCATTAGAAAAGACTGCTTGTAAGGTTGGTCCCTGGCTGGCATCTGGAAACTTGACTGGTAAACACTCCCTTACATCAATCTAAAACTTTCCCTGATGATAAGAGTGCCAAAACTGTACAAACCATATGGTTTATACTAATCACCTGCTTTCCTCCTGAGAATATGAGATTTTAATATGTGCAAAGCAGAGGATACCCCAATAAAAACTATGGGCACCAAGTTGTTAATGAATTTCCCTGGCAGACATGTGTCATCACAAGTCATTGCTAGAGGAATTAAGCACATCCTGTGTGGCTCCCCTGGGATAAGACTCTTGGAAGTTTGTGTCTGATTTCCTCCAAAATTCACCCCGTGTGTCTCTTCCCTTTGCTGAGTTTGCATTGCATGCTTTTGCGGTAATAAATCACAGCCAGGAGTATGAATCCTGTGACTCATTCACACTGAGTTCTGTGAGTCCTCCCTAGTAAATCACTGAACCCGAGGGTGGTGCTGGGAAACCCCGACAGAGTGGCTAAGTTTTCATCAAGGAAACGTGAGTAGAATTGATGTTGTAATTTTACTTTCACTTGCCAGAAAAGATATTACTTGCCCCCCATTTCTAGTATTTTACCTTTCTGTGGATTAGAAACAAATGTTGGAGTGAATCAGCTTCAATCTTGCTGAACAGAGTAATATCCATAGCTGTAATGTCTAATGTGGTAGACAGTAACCACCAGTGTGCATTTAATTTTAATTTTAAATTCACTAAAATTATATAAAATTAAAAATTATGGCCTCTGACTTCAAACATGCTAATGGCTATGATATTGGACAGTAAAAATACATTTCCATCATTGCAGACATTTCTACTGGACAGTCCTACCAAAGAGATTAATGGAAACTTGATCACTAAATGACCTCATGGAGCTAAGCAGACTCACCTACCTGGACCAACAATTACTGAACTGTAAGATGATAAGGAAATATACATCTGTTTTAAGCAACTATATTTTAGGATATTCTGTTACAGCAGCTTACCCTGTATCTAACATAGTTCCTGATTTATTCTTAACCAAGGATGAAAAACATTCATGAGGCAAGGTAACTGTGTAGGACAAGAGCAGATTCAGAATATCTAAGTAGCACACCTTCCTTTGGTACCCAGGTCTTTAATCAGGGAACATGCCAGGTGGTAACATTGTCCATATAAGATAGAGTCATAATCCCAAAAGCTCAATTCTTGCTCTATCATTGCCCTTTTGTATTGTCATTCAGGAAGAACTTAGACAAATAATCTATGAACTTCCTTCTAATTCAAGCATTTAGTGTTATAAATTTCCTTGTTAGTACTGCTTTAACTTGGTCCCACAAAGTTTCATATGCTGTATTTCCATTTTCATTCAGTTCAGTGTATTTTTTTTTAATTTCTCTCGAGACTTCTTTGACCTATGGATTATTCAAAAGTGTGTTGTTTAGTTCCTAGGGCTTGAGATTTTTAGAT